GGTGGCATCGCCGCCCACACCACGAGTTCACACGAGGAGCCCACGGTGTGGGTTCGTGGGGCGGCGGCGCGGGCCACCATGGCACGACTACCGCGACCTTGGCGCGGGCGGCGCCTGTTGCTACCTCCTCCTCCAGAGCCTTCTGCCCGGGCATACAAGGGCAACGGGTAGCCGGGGAGGCCGCTTGTACCAAGGCCTCGTCACCTCTGGCCTCACGACGATGCCGCGGGAGCGGACCAGCCTCTTCTTCGGGGGGAGTTGCCCAAGCTCTTCATGGGGGATTTTCCCTTTCTCAGTGGCAGAGAACCTCCATATCGGCGCCATGGGTGCCACGGTAAAGCAAAGAGGAAGAAGAGGAAGCAAGTGGGACAGAGGACGAGATGAGCAATGGGGCCCCGCCCCTCTCCTCATTTATAGCCAGAGGGAGGCCAACCGCCGGCCTCCATGATCTAAGGTAATGATGATTTTCTTCTGCATGCAGCAGGGTCTCGTCAAGTCGGGCGGTTGCCGAGGCAGCATGGGGAAGTGGAGATGCCCACGACCTATCTATCGCCATGTGCCAATCGAGGCCGCAGGCAGTTGGGGACTGCGGCGCTCCGCACTTGCCCTTTGGCTTCGCCTCCAAGCCATGTCCGAGCGCGCCTTGGGCGCGTGGGCTACTGTCGGTGTCCTGGGAATGGGGGTACCCAGACTTACCTTCCTGCGGCCTAGGGCGTCGCTCCACCAGCGTCCTGGTACGGCCCATCTTCATCAGCAACCACTCAAGACCCTCGCGAGTGGCCATCCCTCGCGAGGCGGACGACATCAAGACCTCCTCTAGGGCGGCCTCGCTAGGCGGGCTCCCGAGGACCGGAGATATCTATGCAAGGGGCACCTCGCGAGGTCCGCGTGACGTGAGCCATGACGACCAAGGTCAAGCAGGCGTCAGCAGGCGCAGGAGTGCCAGTTTCCTATTTGGTGCTAAGGAGGCAGGCGCGGGCGAGGAGTCCCGAGGCATCAGGCAAAGGTTTCCATATCGATGCAATAAGACCAAGACCAGCAGGATGGCAGGACGGAGGTCACCGCGGAGCCCACGGCGGCGTCCCCACCAGATCCTTTGGCAGGCGAAGACACTACAAAAAATACACTTCCGTTATTATACGTGTTTGTCACCGTAGGTCACGTTTTCTGTCATGCATGTACATCCATGACAAATTTATGACAGAATCAAGATAGTCATACCTGTGCTGTTGTAGAAGTGTTCCATGACATTACCAAAATTATCATCACGGAAGTGTCCACTTCCATGACGATAAATCACGTGTCATAGAAGTGCTTTCGTCAAGGGTGACCGACACGTGGCATCCACCATAACGGAACACCGTTAAGCTATCAGGTACGGTTTTGGATCAGATAACCCGTTAACAGCCCCGACTAATGGGGATTTTCCACATGTAAAATCATCATTGGCTAGAGGAAACACGTGTCGGCTCACCGTTGGGACAGATGTCATCCACTCATTGGACCCAAAGCGCCTATGATACGTCAACACGTGGCACGGCCCAACAGAGGCCCATTCCTGTGAAAAGGCCGGCCTTTTTGACTTGGTCAAAAGGTGGCAGGCCAGCCCACGACAATCCTGTTAACGGCCTATTCACTTATGGCCCATTTACAGCTCGCTATCCCAGGTCCCGTTCACGGCCTATCCGAATTAGGCCCAGTAGCGTCATCTGGGCCGTCCAATATAATTCCAGCCCGTTTTAACTTCCGGCCCATGTATGGCCCATGATGTCTTTTGGCCCATATGAGGCCCTTAGTAACCCTTGGCCCCTTAACGGCCCGTGGTAAAACTGGCCCGTAATGAACAGTGTATCACTTTATATCCATTAACAACCCATTATTATGTTGGGTCGTTTCTAGCCCATGTTATCTTTCAGCCTTCTCAGGGCCCATTTATTCTTGGGCTCATTTCTAGCATTTGGTTACTTACGGCCCGTTACTGTCATTTTCTGCTTGTTGGCCAAATTCAGCCCGTGGTTACAGTCGGCCTGTTTTTGGCCCGTTAATACGTTGGGCCGTTTTCATGTCAAAAAAAACCCGTTGGGCTATTTTCATAGAGTTATCAAATACGGCCTATTAATGGCCCGCTATTGTCCATGAATAGTACGGCCCATGATTGGCGAAATGATGATACGCCCCGTAGAAGGCCCATGGATCCTACGGCCTGTAAAAGGCCCATGGATCGTACGGCCCATAGACACTACAAGAATACCCCTTATAAAGCAATGCACATTCTACAACATTTTAGCTATACGTTGTAGAATTCATAATAGATATGCATATTAAAGGTTGAAGATATGCGTTGCAGATTTACATCTCTTGACCCTATCGTTTGACATATACCCAAAAAACAAGGAAGGAGAGAGAGATGCGCCAGAAACAGATCCCCTGATGCGCCTCCTCTCTCCCAAGTCGCCGCCACCAACCACCTCATCACCCTCCTCTCCCCCTCGCCGCCGGCCCTCCCCTGCCCTCCTCCCACCTCGCAGCTCCGGAGGCTACCGGATCCGCCGCATCACCCACCCACCCACCCACTTATCCCTCTCACATCTCATCTCTCTCTCTCTTGATGCGACTCTTCGTTGCGCCACCTGCGGCGGCTGACTCAGGTGACGTCCGGCCGGTGAATCTCGCCATCGCGAAGCACAACCTGACATCCAATCACACCGTGGCGCCCTTCCATGCGTCTAGATCTGGCGGTAGCGGCCACCAAAGCCCACCCGCGACCTTTCCCCGATGGCTAGGGCGTCGGCTCAGGCGCCGGTGGCCATGTCGTCCTCTCTTCCGGTGAGTGAATCCCCTCCCCTGGCTTTGGCCTCTCTCTCTCTTCCCCTTTCTCTAACCTCTGTTCTTCTCTTCTCCTATAGATGTCTAGGTATACACCCCTGATTCTATTTCTGCTAATCCCTGTCAAAAAAGTTTGGCCCTTGTGCAATTCATTGACAAACACTGACTGGCCTGTAGACTGACTTCTGATCTCCGTTGATTTACATTTATGCACTGATTGCTACTCTATTAAATTAGAAATTATTAGATACCAATGGAGCATCAATTTTTTAAAAATTCTTATGCGCTGCTAAGTGCTAACTCATCCATCCTTGATAGATGAGTCGTTAATCCTTTCTATTTTTAATATGTAGAGAAGCACTACTTCATATGTGCGGACCCCATGTTAAATAGTCTATTACAAGAGTTACAATATTTAAGGAGGGATCTAGTCTTAATAGATCTCTGTATTGAAGTTGTGATGAGTTACTAATCAAAGTTTTTGTTGCAATTTCACACTTTTTGGGAGTCTGATGGTCAGGTTATTTAGGTGGAGGTAGTAGCTTGCTAATGGTGGCTTTCACGACCAGCGCAAATACTAGTGGACGTGGACCTGTTGGGGAAAGCACGTACATCTTTGTGTTTAGTGAGCAGGTGAATTAATAATCCACATTGTTTCTTCTATGATTTTGCTTTGATGCTGTTGATATGATTCAGAACACTGATAAATAAGATAGTACACATTTTCTTTGTCATTTGGTTATGTGATTGTCCTCTCATACACTAGAGGAGGGTAGTGGAGGCAAAACTGGGCCACGACCCCCCTTCCAAAATTACAAAAAGAATTTTATACCAAGTTTATTCACTACTTTAGCACAGCCCAGGAGATAATGCCCAGTAGCAGTCTAGGAACAGCGTCCATCCCCGATTCTCCATGGCTCCGATAGACTGTTACTGCAGGGCTAGATCACTACCAGGCCACAACTATTGTGAACCATCGTCCGCTGACATGATTTGAGCGACCGGCCATTGTGAACTCGTCCGTTTGTCTGATGACCTCCTTGGCTCCTCCTCTTTATCAACTTGTCTATCGCCTTCTTATCAGTCGGAGGCTTGGAGCTGCATGCCACTGACGCCGGCAAGCCACCACGTTGGACGATGGACGCACCAGCACTTGTGCGCACTAGACCTTAATCCTCTTGCTGGGTTATGGTGCCTTGTTGATTGAAACCAAACGCCTTGGACACTGCTGGTTGGTGCTTCGTGCTTGCCTGGCTAATTGCTTGGTTAGTTTACTACAGAAAGTGTATGTCCTATTTTTTGATTGGAATGGAGAGAGTAACTGAGAAGTGAGGTGTGATGATAATTTATTCATATAGATGTCCACTGCATCGGTTAAATGCTGGAAAATTTGATGCATTATAAGTTCCTGATTTAGATATATAGCAACAATGGAAACGACATATTATTTAGTCATATAATTATGGGATCCCTACAAATTATCGCTTACACATGTTTTATGATGAGTAGCTTTTTCATGCATATTGTGTGTTTTTAGATGGATTTGGCCCCCTGTTGTGTTTTGGTCACGCTCCGCCGCTGCTCTCATAGCATGCAGTTATTATATATGCACTTGGTTCAAGTCAATGCAAAGGATTCATCTATACCAACTACTTATCTACTAATCTAAAAAAGATACTTATCTACTATCGATGTACATCATAGTGCAAAAAAACTGAATCCTAATACCCCACTTAGATGCAACCTACACCTGAGCTTTATGCATGTTCATGTGCAAACATTCATATACTAAAGCTTGCAGCAAGCACACACACATATACACCGGCAGCAGCTCACTGTTAATCATCATATTAGTCATTTGTTAAATAGAGGCTCACTGTTTGTTTGTGCGCAGGTTTCCGAAGAAAGAAATACTCAATGCCATTCGGTGGTTTTCAATGTGCCAGGCTCTACATTCATAGTACATCATTGAGTTTTACCTTCAAATAAGACTATTTCCGTTGAGGTGATTATTTATTTATTCCTTTATTGCTTAGATTAGCTCTAACCATTTTTCAGCCTTCTTTTCTGCTCTTATTCAACTATTTATGTACTCCTATCTCGCAAATTGTGTACCTATTGTTGTGTGTAATTTAATGTGAGGCACCGCACTCATCCGTTCCGGCACTGCCAAGATGGAGGCGACATCACGGACGGCTGGAGCTGCGAGTAGATTTGTCCAAGATACAACAGTGTCCGTAGTAATAGTTCTGGTAACTGTCCGCGATCTCCATATGTTAACTGTTTGCGAAGACGAAAATGCAAGTAATGTTCTTCTTAGATACTCTTGCCTTTTTGATTTTTACATTGCTAAAGTGACCACTGAGCTCATACCACTTTGATTCATAAATTGCTGAATTACCCTCATGAACTCTTGCTGTCATGGTTTGTAAATTGCTGAATTTCCCATTATGTCGCTTGCACTGTTCCATACAAGCAGTGTCTATTATGCTTTTAATCCATCAACTAAGTAGGTACTATGTTATTAGTGGCTTGCTTTTAGGCCACAACCAAATCTGTTTATTTTTCTCTGAGTCTGTTTATGTTTGTTTTGTGACCTGAAGTAGTATATTGAGTTGTAAGGGAATACTTTCAGGTCGCAACTTTTCTTTGTAATCGTTGTAATCTAGTCGGGCAACCAATGTTTCGAAAGTAATGACCCATTGTAAGAAGTAATGTTTCCTATTTGCATTGTGTATTAATAGTTCATTTTATTATTTTATTTGTAGATTCAAAAGATATACGGATGATTACATGGGTGCGTGGCAAGTATACTGCAATGATGATGATGATGATGTTCCTGGTTCACGATGAAGACGATGATGGATGTTCTCAGTTTTAGTTTAGTTGTAGGGATGCTTTTCCTGTTGGATGATGTTCGTCGGTTAAGTTTTAGTTTAAGTTGTAGGGATGTTGATGGATGATTTTAGTTTAAGTTTTGCTGTCAAGAGAATATTCAGGTTATGCATCACATCTGGATGTTATTCCTCCTGTAATATCAACTATTGTAATCCCACAGTATTTTTCAATATATGATTTCTTCCTGTCATGCGTATATTTTTTATTCCGACTTGATATACATACTTATTACCATTATGTGGAGCATTAATTTAATTACTAGCAATATATAAAATATTATTCACATTTTATATGTAAAACACCTGCAGCATTGCAAATTCTTTGTGGCCAAGTAATAGGATTTGAAATCCTGTAGATGAGATTTGAATTCCTGGACATTAACCACCAACGTATATGAGTGTTGTAGAAGTCAGTTTTATGTGTTGTACTCTTGCAACGGTTCCTTTTACCAAGGGAAGTATAACCGTTGCATTATGCGCTAGCAAAACTGGATAAGGCTACGCATCCAAAACCGTTGGTAAAGACTCTAGCAACGCATATATGGACATTTAGATACGAAAAAATGTGTTGCTATATGAGGGGTCCTGTTGTAGTGAGAAGGCCAACGGATCCTACGGCCCATATAGAAGGCCAATGGATCCTACGGCCCGTAGAAGGCCCATGGATCATAAGGCCCGCAAGAGGCCCATGGTTACAACAGTTCGTGTGTTGCCATGATTATTTTGGCCTAGTTTCCAAAAATAGGTTATTGGGGCCACTAGAAAAACACAGAAAAAGAACTGCAGTGACTACAAGCAAACAACTAAACAAGACAACAAGGAAATAAATAAGCAAGCAATTAACGCTACACTATTATAGCTATTACACATATTACATCCACTAGGCATCAAAGTTCACCACGAGTGCAAATATAGGGAACAAAGCAGCATATTACATACACTGGCCGTCAAAATTGGCCACCAGTGCAAATAAATGCGGCAGCAAAACAAGAGCATAACTGAAACAACTTCAGAAGAGCTCAAGAAACATGGTATCCACCATGCTGGCAATAAGCTTAGCAAGCTTATTAGCTTTGTCCTGTTTGGCGCTAAAATCCTCCAACGCTTTTTGTTGCACCAGAAAGTATGCATCTGAATGCTCCAGGGACTTTGGCAGTCCTTCCGCTTCTTGTCGCAGCACAGCTGATCGATGTCGTTCAGCTTGTAGTTGAGACTCAAGAAACCGAACTGATTCAGATAGTGAGTTTGAATAGCTTATGCAAGCGGTAGTGGCCAGTAACTCGAACACTAAACCAAGACAGGACTTTGGGGTTGTCTCACTGTCTTTGAGATAATCTTCCTTAGCTGTTTTATCATCTTTGTTGGAGACCAACAAGGATGTGTCACTATCCTGAACCTTATCTGCATTACTTCCTTTACCATTGCTTAATAAGGCACTCTTCCCCAATATTATGTCAGCATTCTAAAAGAAGAAACAAGCAGACACATAACAGGTTTAGCATGTACTAGTATATGAAACTCATTTCGGTGAACCAGTTCATTAGTAAGGTGGACAGGATGAAACTACCAAGTCTTCTATTGCCAAGTACTAGTACATAATAAAAGCATAAAAAAACGTATATCTATGTCCTATGGTCACTGCATTGTCTTGCCAAATCAAAATACAGACACAGTTCAAATCATATCAGTTCAAGACAAAGCAGCAGTGAAAGAATACAAAACATGGGAAACTACACGGCACAACAAGATTTCAGATGGGTACCACGGGTCTACATGTACAACAACACTATTGGCTCTGTTGTCATGCTAGTAATGTGCATGATATGAGAAGTCAACTCTATACACAATTAAAATTGAAATCAACAGAGCTATTGATAAGAGCAAGCCTGTTAAAGAAACATGCGTGAACATACCTGTTGTGCCATTGGAGTTTCGATTGGGTCCTTCAATTTAAAAATAAGTTTGTATGAGCAAATACAGTGATACAAGACCAAAGTAGTATGCACGACAGCAATCATAGTTAAAAAAGGCGCGCCTAAGCGACATTGGCGAAACGCATTGCGCATAACTACGCTTAATCTGTGCATAACTGCGCATAAGCATGCGCTTTGGTCAGTAAAGCGCAAGGCGGTGGCAAAACACACAATTAATGCCTAGCGCTTTTTTGAACTATGATAGCAATGGAATCTTAAATTAGAACAGTTGTTCTTCAAGTTTAGGCACTTGTTCTACATGAACAGAGTACAATAAGACGCAAGAATATAGTGCTTAAAAATAGAAAATGAGCTCATAGACCTTACCACATTCTTGGTTTGGGACCAGTACAGAACAAGGCGTTCCTAGTCATCGTCCAGTAAATGTGTCTCAGGTGAACGGAAGGGAATTTGATGAGTTTCTTTGCCAGTGAAGTATGTTTTTTCAGGTAATTCCGATACTACCACCAAGCATTCTTGAAGATAGCAGAGGTATTAGCACAGGTTACCTCATCCCGAGTTTCCAAATCGGTCCTTCTCTATAGAGAAAAATGGGAAAATTTGATGTATTATAACCATCATGGAGGTTGAATGTATGGGACAAAGCAAAGTAATTGCCATGAATAACATTACTTACACATAACTCCTGGACAAACACCTGCAACTGGCATTTTCCTTCATCTTCAGTATAATATTTCCAAGATGGGAAGATACGCACATATGATTTAACAACATCAAATACGATAGATGCTAAACTACGACTAGCTGGTTGTGCTTCCTCCACAGGAATAGGCGTACTAACCGGTGGAGTTAGGGTTCGCCGTGGTAGTACTGGCCCTTTGGGCACTGGAGCCGCCTTACTAACTGCTCTTGTTTGGGAGCTCTATGGTGGAGATGGTGATGTGTCAACAGGAACTGGGTTACTATCTGCTGGGGTTGGGGTTAGATTGGGTGAGGCTGGTTCTCTGTCCATCGCAGTAGGGGTACAATCTGCGAGAGTTTGGGTTATGTGTGGTAGGGCTAGTTCTCGTGCATGTACAACCGAGGTGCTATCTCCACCAAGAGGTAGCACTATTTTAGTTGGTTCTCTGTCCATCGCAGTAGGGTTACAATCTGCGAGAGTTTGGGTTATGTGTGGTAGGGATGGTTCTCGTGCATGTACAACCGGGGTGCTATCTCCACCAAGAGGTAGCATTGTTTTATATGAAGACCGTGTTTTTAGTCCGCTAGATGCTGGCATCACCCGCTCCACTTCAAATGGTTGATAAACAGGAAACATAGTTGAATGTACAGACATTGTATGAGAGACAGATGCAATAAATAGTTGGAAAAAAGAGGGCATGAAATAGTTGACATGTATATTGTTTAACTAAAACGGATAGCATGACATAATTTCACATATATGATGTTTATCTAAACTGGATAGCATAGCGTAACATAATTCAAAGATATGATGAATAACTAAACAGGATCGCATGGCATAATTCACCTACATGTTATCTAAGTAATTAGGATCACATCATTTAATTCACATATGTGATTTATATGCTAAACAGAGGGCATTAGATATGATGTCTGAACTAAGAACATGGTGTTGAATATTATGTATATGATGTCTAAACTATGCAATGCAAGACACCATAAGCATGATATGAGCAGTATAACTATGCCAAGTTAGAGCATACACCTCGATGGGGGAATAGGACTGGTCATCTATCTCTGAATCCATCTCTGAGGAGCTATTGGGACCCAACAAGAGATCTGCTTCGACAGGTAGCACTGTCTGCTCTGAAGGCCTTGTTTTCACTCCAGATTTTTCAATCTCCCACCCAAATGGCTGATTCACAGGAAGAGTCGTTTAATGTACAAACATTGTCGACAAATGGAAATGTAGTGAAGAAAAGGATGGGCAAGATATCATTCAAATATATGATGCCTGGTTAAACAGGATGGCATTGCACATTTCACGTATATTATGGCTGGCTAAAAGACATGAGACTGCATAATTCCCATATATGATATAGAAACTAAACATGTGGCATTACAGAACATGTCTAAACTAAGCAGATGACATATATGATGTCAAAAGTAGGCACTGCAAGGCAACATATGCATGATATGACTAACATCATCATGCCAAGGTAGAGCAAACACCTTGGGAGGGTAAATAGGAGTGGTCAGCGGCGTCTGAATCCGCCTCAGAATAGATATCTTCCTCTGGATTACAATCTGGAGAGGGGTGGGGAGGGTTTGCCATTGAACCCACCATGGAGCGATGTTTGCATGACATTGTATTGCCACGCAAAACTCTTCTCTTTTTCTCTACTTGTTCAGCATGACGGTGTACAATATCTGACATGCATACGAAAAAATATGGTGAGATTATGTAAGGAGAGCATGCAGAAACTTAGAGTGATGGTACCAACCAGTGGATGGATCAAAAAATAATGATAGCAGGCTGATGATTGCTTTAATTTAATAAAAAGATAGATGATGATTGCTTTACTATTTGTTTCCCACCCAAGATGAACAACATAGGCATACCCTAGGTGAACCAGATATTAGACAGAGATACTATTCATTGCTTCCTCGATATGTGCCCCACAACTAATTTAGAACTCAAGTTTGAACATTAATTTGGACCTGACTTGGAGTCCAAGAGGTGAACAGGACGATAAAGTAGCATGTAATTTTAAGCAATGCATAACATAAGCAGAAACAAAAGCGTGCGACCTCTCTTGTGGACCCGTGTACTCCTCAGGTTCATCTGCTGAGTCGGTGATGGTGATGCCGTTGCGGTGGGTACCAGCGGCAGGGAAGGATATCTGAGGCGGCGAAAGAGAGTCAGGAGTCGTGATGTCTGGTTTGGTGGATGTTTCTATCGATGGAGCAGCTCAGTTGAGGTGGCCGACGTCGTGGCGGGAGCAGGACAAACCACACAGAGTTCCCTTCGACACCTACCTGTAACTGAAGTAATTCTATAAGGGCTCATTTGGCTTGCATGATTCTAA